GACGGTTGATAATGTTGCCGCCGCGGTCAAGATCCCCAACGTAGCCGGTGTGGATGTTTCTAGTGGTGTCGAAACCGACGGAAAGCAGGATCTGGAGAAAATTCAGATGTTTATTAGGAATGCGAAGGGTCTGTAAGTCATCTGTTAGTTTGGTGTACGATATTGGACAGTGTATACAAGTTTGGATACCATATTGGGCCTTAATTTTGGCATTTATAATACATTTAATGTACATCACGATCTCTAAATCTCATGCCACTTGCCAAATTTCAAATAATCACCATACGCAGTCTTGAAGATTGCACGAGCAGCCTCATCTAACGCCGCATTCGCTATCTTCAATTCGTTCTGTCCCAATGAGTCAAACAGCGTGTAAATACCCTGCGTCAATGCCTGCCGTGTATCAGGATCGAAATTGTAGTTCAAGTTCGCGTAGCAGTACTCAACTAACAAATACGGCGCGTGTTTAGAGAGTGCGCGGCGAGAAACACCAGCTGCGGAAGAAAGAGAGAATGATGACGTTCCGTGCGAGTCGGCTAATATTCGTTTTCGAGAGTCTTTCCAGGATCGCGCGGGTGGTTCGCAGAAGTTAGATATTAATCGAGAATATGCTAATGCGCAAGATGCCGAGCATGCGGAAGTACGAGACAACCAGGCTGCGCGTTTCCAGTGATTCTGAATCGATTTCTCAATGCGCCTGTTCGAACCGATTAGGCGAGGTACACAAAGGGGATAAAGGAGATTCTGCAAAAGACGAATAACCAAGTTGTGGTGGCCTCGGAGGAATTTGCTGAAAGAAAGCAGAACGGTGGACGTTACGGAGCAAAGACTTAGATACACTTCGTCAATATCGTATTCATCGATAAAGGACGGACCTGAGCGGGACGTGGAGACTATCAACAAGATACTCATTTGTTCGAACACCAAGGGAGAAACGAGTGACGGCTGTTCCTTCAGAACGCTCTCAAACATATGCAAAATCTTTAAAAACAGCTTCGAGCTCGTTATTTTGCCTAATCCTAAAACCAGAGAACAACAGATTAAAGACATCTTCTTAACGAGGAACGCGTAATGTTCTACTACAATTAGCTTCCCATCAGTTAAGATCTGTATGTAACGCACCTGATCCGCCAAGCGTAATCAAACAGGCCAATGCTTCGATATATCTACCCTGGCTGTAATCTGTTGCCGGAAACGAAATATGAACCAGTTCATCAACAATCTCACCATAGATACTTGCGCTCCACGACTTTGCATTCTCTTGAAACAGTTTCCGGATCATTTTGCAGTCCACGGTAGCGATTCTGGTCGATAGGTCATGCAAAGCAACGAAGTAAGACACAATATACTGGGCGCGAGTGAGTTCGTCATGCGCTTTCTGGGGAGAGGAGAGAAGAAAGAGTTCAAATATCGCTTGCACTATCTCGCCGCATATTTCAGCATTAAACGTGTCACCAGCATTGGAATTGATAAAACTGATGCCAATTGAGACATGAGACAACACTGTCGTAGGTAATGTTCCTGTACATATTAGTCAGCAAACATTGCGGCGGCTCAATATCGAAGAGCGCTTACCGCGTGATTTTGGATCCAAAAGCGAATAAATCTCTGATAGAGACAATACCAGGGATCGCATCATAACAAAATCATCTTTCTTCACAGTAGAAATGTACTCGACTATTTTCCCTTTCACTGCCACCAGTCGACCCGGCAACTCATCCAATCCACCAATTTTCTCCAAAAATGAACTAGATATCGAAAACAATCTGACATATCCTATATTCAACTTCTCCACGTTCTGCATTACGGCATTATACGATGTCGCATTTAACGCGTCCAGTAGGGCTCTTTTGTCCTGTGAATCACCGCTCGAAGAGTGTTTGAAGACTTGTTTGACAATATCGACTGTTATCGATTCCAAAAGTGTATCTTGAGTGCTGTTTAGCCTGGTGACAAGATACGCTAACCCGGCAGGATTGCTTTGCTAAAAACATAATTAAATCAAAATTATAGTACACCAAAAAAAATAATGCATACCAAAATCGCTGTCATACTCGGAACCATCAACAGTTTTCTTGTCAGCCTTCGGCACTCCAAGCTCAATGAATAACTAGAGGATGCATCGACAAGAAGTAAATAGTCCAAAATCCTCTCTCGACGCGATCTCCTTAATGCTTCAATTGGGTATGCCAAGAGGGAGGTTATAACTTTACGCATAGATTCTTCTTGCTCGGTAGAGAGTGTGGAAGCTGTAGAAGGTTTCAAGTTGTTGATAGTTTCTGTTCTGTGGTCGAATTCTTGGATTTCAAACTGAGATTGTAATTGTAAGGCAATACAGTCTATTTTCATATTAGAATGTACTCCCCTTACAAAATAAATACGACGGTATACCTTTGATTTTAATCTGCTCGAGCGCGACAGGTGACGTGATAAGTCTTCTCCAAACATTGGTAAACAGCTCGTCACTATGCATGCCCAAATTCCAGAAGCTGGTTACTAATCTCTTGATCTGCGCAATCTCAAAGCGGTGTCTATGTCAATGTCAGAACTGACGGGAAGCACCATTAAATAGTCATAATGCTTACTCAACAAGCACAAGCCATCTATTTATAATGCAATAAGCAAGAGCAGCGGGCAAGTTCCCCTTGCCAATATGCGCAATATCCTGGTCCCAACTCGAATATGACTTCCTGTCCATTACATCGAGAAGCCATTGTGCGACTTGGGAAAAGCCAGTCCATGACTTGAACTCTGCTATTCTAAATATGATCTGTAATTTGAAATATGATATCCGTCTATCTTTAACCCTCTTATCTGGATTGACTAGGGATTTGACAGTGGATGCAATGTCAGAGGCTCCGGTATATGATGATTTGATGACTGATTTGACCATAGTTTTGTGCATGGAAAGAATTAGGTACTTCAATCTCCACGTTAGATAGTTTCCTTGTAAAGCGTCCGAATCCAGCAATGAATACAGTCGTTCAGCCTTCAACAATAGCGAATCAGGTAAGGGATCTTGCAATAATGATGCGCCAATTGTAATCGCCATCAAAGGTAATAAATCACCTTCGACAAGATCACCAGTCTCATCTCTAGGAATAATTTCCACAAAAATCGGATATAGCTGATGAATTGTCCAATTTCCGGAAATCTGTGTCGCAACTGCCCGGACGAGATCCTCACTGGCTAGCACGCTAGTCTCTGGTACGCCCCCAGCTAAGGTATTCCTCCAAATATTGATAAACCGCTGTAAATTTCGGATCTTGGTATATGCCTCTGCGATATGGCATACAAAACACACAATTTCCGGGCTCTTGTCAGAATTCCGTAACTGATCGTCCATCAATCCTTCCACCAACGGAAACACCGCGTCAGCATCAACATCGAGGACCATCGTTGCCAGATTCCAGTCTATGGGCTGTTGAATAAGTAATGTTTTTGTCAGCATTTCTGACGAGATTGTGATATCATGATCCTTGGCTTGATAGAGGATATATTGCGCAGTTTGGGGTGCGAAATTGAGTAATTCTTCACACATTTTCGGCATCAACGCCTGTTGCTTCGTTTTCCCAAACTTGGACAGACCAAGTGAGAGCACATGCCCGAGGAATACACCGTCTGCAGTAGTCGTTAGTCTCGCGGCCTGTATTGGACAATGAAGTTGAGACACACCCTGCTTGATACCTGGAATTTGGGATAAGGCATCACATAAATTCTTGAATGGCTGGTTCTCATTGTCTTTGATTACGGATGGACTAAACACCAAGTCGCGAAGAATATCGCTGAGTTTCTCGTGCAGTTTGGTTTGACTGTCAACTTCCTTCAAGACTGTGAACGAGGCTAATAAACCTCTATTCGAGAAGCTTTGCGATATCTTTTGGTTTCAAGTAAATAAGTGCGACTGTGGAAGAGAAGTAGTAGGTGAATTTACCTTCTTGAAATTGGACACGCCATATAGTGCGTTCTCATATATGATAAAAATTAAGCGGTACCACGACTCCATAGCTGCGTTTGGAATCACACTAACGATCTTCAAATAATCTATCACAACGGACATCATAACTTCCGTCGTACATCGTAACCATATATTTGCCTGTTCAACGCATTCGACAGAATTGAATACTGAAGAGAGCATTGCAAGTCTCTCCTTGTTCTGGTCATCGTTCGCTGCGACCTCCGAAGCAATCCAGCCTAGTGTTGATTTTATGTTATCAAGAAATTTATGGCGGTGGTAGATTTGACGTTGGGAGTCTGTGTCGAGTGAAGTCCATATAGTTTTGAAAATCTTCCAATAATCTCCACTATACCACATAAGCGTGTGAGTACACCCATTTGGCATCCTGACCAAAATTGAAAGTACCTACTTCTTCATTCCGATCTCCGCTCTATCAAACCACCAGTCCATCAAAAACTCCTCTTTTCGAGGAAAATATAGGTTCGTGTATCGCTCATCTATTAGACCATGCGCAAAATCTATTAAGGGACCGATATCTTCTGTTTTAGATCGCAAATATCTCGACGCCTGCTCCGACGTCATCGTCGGTGCAGGTGGTATGGCTGAACTCATTGTAGGTCACTATATCGTCAAACGTTTCGCAATTCTATATGCCATTCTGGTATATCTGCTACTTGCTTCGACTTACAGACTTTGATATCGATGTGTTCACTAATCCAAATCTGACGCGAAACTACAAAAGCCGTCTAAATTTTTCAGGGGGTCGGGAATCTGCGAGTCTCTACTCTGAGATCCCGTGCCTTGAGTTTCGTCAATTTTTTTAATAACGTTCACCACTAAAGCAAGTGATTCGCAGGCCCTAACCATTTATATTAAATATGTAGTATCGTATGTAGTTATAATTATTATATGCAGAAAAATTTGCAAAACTTTCATCGACATGCACAGTCATCGTCTCATTCGTTTGGTTAGGGCTGATTACCCTAACCCTGCATTAAGTTTACTAAATCTGCTCCGATCGTAGGGGTTTGCAGATAGATTTGACTGGATGGCCAAGCTGGTTAAGGCGTACGGCTGTTAACCGTAAGATCGGGAGTTCGATCCTCCCTCTGGTCGTTTTTTTCGCGTATTAGTCGCTGGACGGGTTACATTTTGTCTAAGGGTTAGCTGACGGACTTATCATCTGGTCGAGATATTATGGGCAGCATGAGTACTTTTTAAAGACTGGGAATGTCATATGTGGGACGGACAAGGTTGTTACGGATCATCCGTTCTGAGTGGACGACAAACGTTGGATTCGTGATATGACAGTTGTTATGCTGATCGTGAATTTTTGTAGAACAACACGCGACGAGTAATGTAATGGTCATTACATGTGTCATGGATAGGAATAGTTATGGAAGAAAGAATAAATATTGTAAGCTTAATCGGGACTTCCGTAGCATCATGCGGCTATCGATAACGAGCACTGACGGTGGCGCAAAGTGACGCAATCGCAGCCGTCATCTTCCCACGTACTCGTCATACTGTGAATTATTGTGTGCCATGACGTTGATTTCCTACAATGTACATATTGATCTGTTATCTGTCAATAGCATAGTACACTGCTTAGAAGCAGATGTCCTTATTCGTACCCAATAAGCGGACACAGTCGAGAGAATGCGATGCGAATGTAGCCGGAGGAGTTACCCGGAAATTAGTTTCGCCAAATGAATGCGCGTGCGGCGCCTCCCTTAGTGAGCAGGCTACGTTTTTGTTGGAAGTTGTGTTCCCAGACCACTCACAGGCCACACGTTCCAGTCATCAAACGTCCCACTCCAGTTCATCCCGTCTCCACTCTACCTGTCCGCCCACATCAGCACTTCATTCTCTGCTTCTCTTCATTCTGCGTACTCCGGACGCTCTCGCCTCCACAATGGATCACACGACTCGGCGGCCGTCAGTCGCTCACAGATCTTTCTCTGTAGAGGATGCGCGGCAGGAGCTAGATATCGACAGGGCATCCTCCTCCGCCCACCACAGGTCAGGCAGCTCTCGAAGACGTTCTCGCCAACGGCACGACAGACCCTCTCTCGCCACGGTTCATTTCACTGACGACCCATCAGTTGGTGCCACTGCCACCCCAGTCCTAGAATCCCGTGTACACGTCCACCATCACCATGGCCGCGACGCCGGCGACCAGGTAGCCTCCCAGGACAGTCTCCGTCCAGATGATGTCTCGCCTCCTACAGAGCATACCGACGAGAACGACGGTGACGACTCCGGTAGCACCCTCATCCACACAACAGACGGTGACGACGAGTTTGACGACTCATCCGACACCGCATCCATAGAGTCATTCACTCTCCGCGAGCGTCAAGATGCCATCAACGAGACCCATCCTTTTGGTATTCGTATCTGGAAGCCTGCTTTGTACAAGAAGTCTCGTTCGGTCCAACGTATAGCCGAGGGCGATATCCATTCCGCGCCAGGTAAGAAGGTCTCTTGGGTGGTTTCGGTCGGAAATTACCTCTGGTCCTTCATATTCGGTATTCCTCTATGGATCATCATCCAAATACCAGCCTCATTTTGCTTTGTATTCTTCTTTTGGAGCGCGTCTGCCCGTGAATATGGCCGAGCGTTCTATGCCCTCGCGAACTATTTTGTTTTTCCGTTCGGAAAGTTTGTGCAGCTCGACCAGGATGAACATTACGCACTTGAGGACGAAGGCGAGGGAAGGTCGCTCGGTGAATATGAAGAATGGCGAACAGGTAACGATCGTGGCCGGCTCTTCTTTGGACCGAGCTCACGCCAACCTTCACATCGATCGCGACGCCAGTCTGGTGGCCTCGAGCCGATACACGAGACTGACGGCTTGCTGAACTCGTTCGGCGGTCCTAATGACGACGACGCCAATGGTACGGGAGCTACTCGCGAAGAAGGAACGGCTTCCTCGTCTGCAGTGTCGGTTACGTCGATCGAGTCTGGCATGCCATATGCGACTAAGCGGCGTTTGTTTGGGCGTGGCCAGTGGAACCTGGGCCGTATCATCTTCTATTTGTGGTTCTATGTACTTGTCTATCCCGCATTGCTGATTGTCGCAGCCATCTGTTGGTTCATGGTCTTTGCGATACCGATGGCACGTGTCACTGTTCACCTCTGCTCACATTTGCGACGACATCCTCTCGTGTTATCATTCCATCACGACGGTCCATTGACACGCAACGAAGAGTCGTTCGAAAATACCTCAATTTTGGTGTGTACATACCGTGCGTTTGGCTGGAACTACTACAAATATACAGTCGACGGTACCAACGTTTTCCTCATGAATCTGATGTTTGTTGTCGTGTTTACCATCTTCGATCAGTACCTCATCTCCAGAATCCTTGGTTCGTCCACATTTATTACCGTTCCTGGCGTGATTTTCGTGCTTGCACTGAGCTCCGTTATTCCGCTCGCTTACTTCATCGGACAGGCCGTTGCCTCTATTTCCGCACAGTCATCAATGGGTATGGGTGCGGCGATCAATGCGTGCTTCTCGACCATTGTTGAAGTATTTTTGTACTGCGTTGCGCTCACTGAGGGCAAGGGTCGACTCGTCGAAGGTAGTGTGATCGGCAGTATCTTGGCTGGTGTCTTGGTCATGCCCGGTTTATCCATGTGCTCTGGCGCGATTAAGCGCAAGACGCAGCGATATAATCCAAAGTCCGCGGGTGTGAGCTCTACCATGTTATTGTTTGCCGTGATTGGCGCATTCGCACCAACTTTATTTTACCAGATTTACGGATCGGTGAGTTACCTTGTGCTGAATGATATACATCTCCCTAATCCTTGAGTAGTATCAGCTCAATTGTGTTCCGTGCACTTCTCGAGAAACCCCAGAGCCGGTTGACGGAGTCAATGCTACGTGCCGTCGTTGCCAGTTCTTCCTGGACCCCCTTATGAACGACGATTTCTACAAATCGGCAGTTAAGCCGTTCACATACATTTGCGCTGTCCTTCTTTTCATATCGTACGTCATTGGTCTGTGGTTCACGTTGCGCACACACGCGGCCATGATCTGGCAGACCAATCCGTCATCGTCGAATCAACCCGTCGTGACCGTTTCCTCCGGGCAGCCAGACGGCGCAACGTTGCCTGCGGACGGCGGTTCGACTGCATTAGGGGTATATGACTTTTCTTATGATGATGTTTATGGATCTAGTAATAGCATGGGCAGTGGTATTAATAGCCATAAATTCAAGATTCCGCTACTTGGTGGTCAGCGCGCTGATCCTGTCCAGGAATTGCCTCTTATCGATTTACGCACGGATGCGAACGGTACGCCTTTGGCGACAATGAAATTGCCGATACCCGATGCAGATTCAAAGACGACGACGTTAATAAAGACTGACGCGACGCCGACAGCTAGAGGCGTTAATTTGACGGTTCCTAGTGCTACTTCGACTGGTACGACGTTGCGTCGGGGATCGCTTCGGAATCTGATTAGATCAAAGGCTGGTTCAACCAAATCGAAGCTTCCGATCCACGAGCGGCCAGCGTCATCTACCGTTGCACTAGAGCTAGGATCGCCGTTGCCAGTTGGTACCGACGCGCACGCCGAGGAGCAGCATGCGGGCGGTGGGCACGATGCGCCGAACTGGAGCAGGCTAAAGTCCACAATCATTCTCCTTGGTGCAACGATCTTATACGCCGTCATCGCAGAGATCCTCGTTGACACAGTCGACGTTGTTCTAGACTCGGTCGCTATTGACGAGAAGTTCCTCGGTATCACTCTTTTCGCGCTGGTGCCGAATACGACGGAGTTCTTGAATGCCATTTCGTTCGCTATGAATGGGAATATTGCCTTGAGTATGGAAATTGGGTCTGCGTATGTGCTGCAAGTTTGTTTGCTGCAAATCCCGGCTTTGATCTTGTTCAGTGTGTGGAACTACACTGCGAACGAGAACTTGCGAGATTACACATTCAGGTGAGTTCGACTGTTATCATGGTTGATAAGTTAGTGGCTGATGATTATAAGCTTGGTGTTCCCGCGATGGGATCTAGTCGTCGTGGTACTCTGCGTTTTCCTACTTTCCTACATCTACGCGGAGGGCCGGAGTAACTATTTTAAAGGCTCTATCCTGCTCCTGAGCTACCTCGTGGTGATGTGCGGGTTCTGGTTTAGCGGGACGACAGGTGAGGCGCAGTTATCTTCCGTACCGCAGGATATCATTGGTGGCAGTCCTGTTTTCATTATTCCCGGGATGCTGTCTGGCTTCGGGATATGAGTGTTTCGAACGAGATGGGAGAGCCAAAGCGGTCCTTTGGCTACTATAATATACAGCAAAGATTCTGAGGTGTAAGAGGGTTGCTCGCTTCTTGTGGATCATACCACCATGCACTAGACCCATGTAGACATTGCAATGGGCATCATCATCATCATTTGGTAAAACGAAATCAAAATACAGGCATACTCATCAACATCATCGCCATCATCATCCTTGCAACCATCATTGTCAGCCACCCAGCTTCCGTCAAGTTGATTCATGATTGTGTTATATTTAGTTCCGTTATTTGGGATTGTTTATGACACGTTTTGTGTCTCTTTGGTTCTAGTTGGTGCTGGGAATTTTTTTTGTTCTTACGCTGGTATATTATTTCCTAATTCTTTGTTATTCTCTTTCTCTGTCTGCAGAGAGTAGTAGTTGTTGAGTTTAGTATATAACAATGTGACGCTTGTTACGTTGCTTTATTGGTTGTCATTATGATATAAATATGTGTGTGTCGACTTTATCAATATTCAACTAGATCATATGTTTGATTGCACGACCAAATTTGAAAGGTGTACACTCCGCGCAAAGAAATCTCGCTAGTATTGACCTCGAAAATAAATAATTACATGTAGTAAATATGCACTTTCATACACTTCCTTTAAAACAATTAAACTATATATAAAAGCAAATAAAGACAATTGACGCCAAGGAAATACGCCATTAAACCATTTACAAAGACGAAGACCCCATACTCCAAATGACCGTACTCACACAACACATACTGCAATAGCAGAGCACCATTATGGCGCATAATTTCGTTACTGATCCATAATTGTATCATAAGATCTTAAGCCTCAAGATGTCCTCTCTTTTTCCAACTTT